TGATGGTAGAGCATTTGGAAGAGACTCTAGAAGGCGATTCTGGAAAAATCGTCCAACATCCGGATCTGTCAATCGTTCAGTTGCCCGGCGACTTTTTCGCATCTTACGCGGCCCTGGAAAACGATGCCAGAAGCGACTTCGGATGGGTGCGTTGTCAGAATCCACAAATGTGTTCCAAAACGACTGGTAATCTGCTATTGATCCACGCCATCGGTAACTAATGACAATGTAATCGATTTGGTTTCATGGCCGGCACGCTGTTGGAGGACACTATGTGGCCAGACGAATTCGGCCAGTTCGGGAGTTATTTCTGCATAAAAACAACCTGCGGGCGCGTACGTACGCTAAGCCCGCTCACTTGTGCATTCAAATCCCCGACGACCGCAAGGATATCTGAGCTTTTAGCCCGCCGCAGTAGGTCACTCACGACGTCAGTCAGAGCTGCAGTCAGTTGAAACGTAAGCAGACACAACAGACAGACATTGATCAATTTTCCCCATGTGAGACTCCACAGACGCTGCATTCGAACCGCGCAGAGGCGACTAACAACGGCTTTCGAGCTAAGCAGGGGTTCTTCCGCCCGATGACTTAGGACGATCCAACCCCTGCACATCCTGCCGCAGCAGCTTGTGTCGACAGAGGTGTGTAGCCGGAGGCAAGTGGAGAGTGATGGGGCGGTTAGCTCAACCACATTGCTTGCATCTTGAATTCTCGTTTCTACTATACAGCACACATCAATGGTAAGCGAGTCCAGCGTGAGAGCAATAGCAGCTTGTTGATCTGCTTGCTTCAGAGTTCGGAAGGCGGCTAGGTATATAGGGCGTCGTGATGCCTGAGATGATGCTCACGCAGATATTGCTTGCAAAACACAGTCATTAGCCCTGAGTGCTGGGCCTACAAGGATAGGTTTATCGATGGGGTGGGGAGAGGAGAAGAAAAACTATATGAAAGAGGTAGAAGAGAGTCTTTAGCAGTGGCATATGTTTCGCTTACCTGCTCTACTGTATTCAGCGAGTAAGGCGACTCGGCTGGTGGCACCACGCGACGGCTGATGTGGCAAATGTTTATTTGTATATGTGCAGTTCGTCGCTGTACGTGGGCCGGGATACTACCAGGGCGCCCATATCTAGGCAGAAGGCAAATTAGGATCTTCAATCAAAGACTTAAGCTCAAAAGCCTTACCGCAAGGCAGCGGCGTTTGGCAGAAAATGCAATTGCATTTCAACTGTTACAGAACAAGTCGCCACACATGTCCAAACCCCCAACCTGGAGGACCAGGAGGCTGTATTCGTGAGACCTCTAACAATTAGCCAATCTGCAGCGAGAGACTGCGAATGTCGGGCGTACACCTCCCAGTATAGCTTAATGGTACACAGACCGCCACATCGTGGTAAGGTTAGTCTCTTTGTGGTGGCCGAATGAACATTGGGTCCGCAGTTTTTCTGGGGATGCTGAAATTGACTGGCTAGGTCGTTTGTTCCCTCACTTGTTCGATGGTCCAAGCAACACGCTACCTGACCTCGTATTTCAAGCTTGATTTCATGCGGTTGGATTGGATGGGCAATCTGAATTTATTCGTCCACTCGAGGACCTCCTGCGATGCTGTGCATCCGTATTTGCTGATGAACCTGGACGATGAACGAAGCGGAAGGCAGACTGTATCTTCCCAATGCTAGAACATTTTCAGGTCGAAACACCCATTGTGGATTTGGGCTTGGGGCAACTACAGACGGCTGGTGTTCTCCAACCGACCAATAACTCAGTGTGGGCTGCACACATCAAAGTTCTGAAGGCTAACGGAGCCATCCAATTGGGTGGAGAGTTTTCCATTGGTCTCAGTGTTATACTGGATACGCATCAATACCCTCTGCCTCTTCCTGGGGACTTATTCGTGAAGCTGAACAGAGGCAAATGTTTTGCGAAGGTTGATGTAGCTAAGGCCTACCTGCAGTTCAAGGTCGTGGAGAAACGCCGGGAACTTTTGACCATCAATATACACTGTGGACTGTTTCATTATACCAAACTGCCATTTGTTGTGGAAGGAGCGCTAGTTATGTTTCAGCAAATCTGGATGCGGTATTGCCGTCTAGTTGAACGATTTCATCGTCACATGTCCGAACCCCGGCGAGTTGTGGTAGCGTCTTGATTACGTACTCCGTCATATTCGAGTACACGTCCTTCATGTGATCGACAAGATGTCTCGGTTTTATCATCAATCAATTATGGGTTATAAACCGTGTATTATAGGCACATTGATTCTAGCTGTGACACTTTCGATCATCAGAAAGCGAGAGGATGTACGGCCTACAGCCAAGTCTTGCAGGCGATGGTATGTTCAGTTAGTTCGGGAACTGGGTAGCCACGCATTGAGGGTGACAGCCTTGATGCACGAGCGCCACTGACTGTGCGATTGGGTCATTTTTCCCAGCGTCATTAACCACTGGCGAATTGAGTCCCGGGGTCCCCATCCAGGGAGGCGACAGTTATCGATCCGACCAACTTTGCTGGTTGGTGTTTTCGTACTTTGTTGCCAGGTCATACACGGTCCACCTATCGGTCGCTTGCACGCGGTGCAGATCTGGGCGAAATCTCTGCGAGATGGATGGTCTTCTGGCGTGTGGAGTATATGTCCTAACCAGCATGAATTCCCTGATAATAGCCGGAAAATCACTGCGCGTGCGGCCTCTGCACGGCCTCCAGGCTGACTGACTTTGCGTCTAGAGGTGCTTCTGGACACTTGATCTCAGCTCAACTGCGGAGACTCCATCAACTGCTCCGTCGGAGACCCAGTCCGAGCACGGATTACAACCACGACCCGGGATAGATGGATCCGCCATTAATCCAGCGATTACCATGTCGGTTAGATGGCGACTTCCACAGGACGATGCATCATCATCACCATCATGAACAGCATCACATCAGTGTTCGACACTGATGATTCCAAAAACTTGTGGTGGACGGGGAAGTGACTTTGAGCTACCTTATTACAATCATTTCGAGGTGCCTACACTACCGACACTCATTCTGGATAGTAACTAACAACACGAGCGCTATTGACATCGATTAGCAACCATATATTGCAGTGTCTCCAACCAGACGCCGTTGGGAGTCACGCGGTCTCCACACTGGAAGGCGACTAGAACCGACAGTATCCAAACTTTTCGTAATCTCTTTCATACCCCTCGGCCAGGTCAAGGGTTGGCCATCGTCACATGTCCGAACCCCGGCGAGTTGTGGTAGCGTCTTGATTACGTACTCCGTCATATTCGAGTACACGTCCTTCATGTGATCGACAAGATGTCTCGGTTTTATCATCAATCAATTATGAGTTACAAACCGTGTATTATAGGCACATTGATTCTAGCCGTGACACTTTCGATCATCAGAAGGCGAGAGGATGTACGGCATACAGCCAAGTCTTGCAGGCGATGGTATGTTCAGTTAGTTCGGGAACTGGGTAGCCACGCATTGAGGGTGACAGCCTTGATGCACGAGCGCCACTGACTGTGCGATTGGGTCATTTTTCCCAGCGTCATTAACCACTGGCGAATTGAGTCCCGGGGTCCCCATCCAGGGAGGCGACAGTTATCGATCCGACCAACTTTGCTGGTTGGTGTTTTCGTACTTTGTTGCCAGGTCATACATGGTCCACCTATCGGTCGCTTGCACTCGGTACAGATCTGGGCGAAATCTCTGCGAGATGGATGGTCTTCTGGCGTGTGGAGTATATGTCCTAACCAGCATGAATTCCCTGATAATAGCCGGAAAATCACTGCGCGTGCGGCCTCTGCACGGCCTCCAGGCTGACTGACTTTGCGTCTAGAGGTGCTTCTGGACACTTGATCTCAGCTCAACTGCGGAGACTCCATCAACTGCTCCGTCGGAGACCCAGTCCGAGCACGGATTACAACCACGACCCGGGATAGATGGATCCGCCATTAATCCAGCGATTACCATGTCGGTTAGATGGCGACTTCCACAGGACGATGCATCATCATCACCATCATGAACAGCATCACATCAGTGTTCGACACTGATGATTCCAAAAACTTGTGGTGGACGGGGAAGTGACTTTGAGCTACCTTATTACAATCATTTCGAGGTGCCTACACTACCGACACTCATTCTGGATAGTAACTAACAATACGAGCGCTATTGACATCGATTAGCAACCATATATTGCAGTGTCTCCAACCAGACGCCGTTGGGAGTCACGCGGTCTCCACACTGGAAGGCGACTAGAACCGACAGTATCCAAACTTTTCGTAATCTCTTTCATACCCCTCGGCCAGGTCAAGGGTTGGCCACCTCTCTGCTTCTACCACTCTGAATTGGACACGGAACGATAATAATGGGAAGTCCTAGAAAAAGACGCACGATCGTCCTGATATGCAACCAGCACAGTCCTATTAAGATCTAAGTACCGCCTGCCTAGCTTTCGCTCCTCCTTCAAGACATCTTGAGTGAACAGCCAGAGTAGTGGATCATGCCTGATCATTCCCTGAGGTCACAGTCATTATGACGTTCCTATCCGATATTCGATCCTTCAACCCATCACTTTACGCTAGACTTCCGTGCATGTCGCATCCCTGTTCGTCTCCATTGTTCTCCCACATACCAGTCACACGACATACACCGCCTCCTCCGGTTGGATACCCTGTACGATAATTTGGGACCATCACTTAATCTTAGTCGAAGCTGTTCTTGCGTAGGGGTCATGTGATTCATTGTGTTTGGGCACAAATTCTACCAACTATCTTTTTAACCTGTCGTAGACGAGTCCGAGTAAGGCGTGTCCCGTCATCAAACCTTTCGTCACACATGTGCGTCTCCAAGAGTAACGCTTCCCGAACCACTCAACCCTCTACTGATTTGCCCTATGCAGACGTTGCTTCCAGGAATCGTGGCTAAGCTAAGCAGGTTGGTTCCACGTGGCTTCAAGACACTGTTGTGTCGTGTTTTTGCACTGAGTGAATGGGTTTTAATTCAGTTAGTTCATTTTATAGATTCCCACTTGGAATGCCCCGGCTACGCAGCCATTCGGTCGCCCTGCGACCCGCCAATCCTGATACAATCGGCGTCCACCATTCTATTCCTGAAAAAGGCGAGAATGTGGATTCTGGTGTAAGTTGTTATACGTTGTAGTTTGTCTCACCATGAAGACTTTGCTTGCCGAAGTTCTAACCTGGTTTCAGATGCACCTGTCTAGCGAGATGGCTCAGTGGTTAGAGCGCGAATTTACTGGTCGGGAGGTCTGTGGTTCCAACCCGACCCTTGCCTCTCGACTTCCGCTGTCTAGGCTTGGGCAACCTGGCAGTATCCCAGCCCTCGTGCAACCTTCGGGTAGCATGGCAGTTAGGCACCGAAAGGGTGTTACAGCTGAACGATTTGATGTGCTCCGGCGTGTGAACTTGTCAGTCCGATATAAATCTGGGGGAATGAGATGGGTATACAAACTCACGACGTTCGTTTAGGACCATCAGCCGGTCTAAGCGTGGTGGCATTGCGAACCGCGTCAAACACTAGGGCATGATTCATTTCGCTATCATACAATCAGGACCACCAGGAGCTGGTCAGGACGAACCATTTCGGCTATGATGAGTAAACTGACTACCTCCTAATTCCTCGCCTATTTGAAGTGGATTTTTTAGAATCAGACTTCGTTCTCGAACGTCAATGTTTGCCGTGAGTATGCAGCCTACTGAAAAATACCGAATATTGTGTCGACCTGTTCATACCTTGAGTATAAAATCCACATAGGAAAAACTTACTGACATGCCTATTCACGCCAGAGCATTTTTGCAATAGAAAATGAATTTGGGTTCAAGTAGAACATAAGGTTAATGGAAACTCGGGGACTGCGCCTACCTGATGAGTCCCGTCCCAAGTGGCGAAACCGGTCGTGGGCTGTCGAAGCGTCTTCAACAACCTTGTGAGTAGTTTCCCTTATGAAAATACATTATATTATTTTATTGTTAATGTACTTTTGAATAATATTTATTCGCAATTCACCGAAATATCGGTATGTGGCTGTTAACCTGCTGACCGAGCTTGGCAGTTGTCCTGATATCCCCTCGATTGGTGATGGAACTTTCTCAGGTTGATTGCCAAGGTCGGCGACACTTCAACGGATACTCGATCAACTCCCGGGTATTTGTAAAGTACGTGTGGTGTGAGAAACTCACAGGGAATCGGTGTCCTTGTAATTATTTCGTGCACTTTATGCTGCAAGCCTTCCACTTCGAACGTTCACGTGGGTGTTTTCCATCAGTCACGTTCTCTTACTCCACGGTAATACATCGTTGGCCCGCGAAATTGAACAGTTGAAGGTCCTTCTCATGAGTATCAGTACACCGGTGCCCATTTCGATCATGAGGTTGTTCACATCCCTTCGGCCGAAAGGTCGAAATATTGGGTAGTATCGTTCAACTGTAGCACCCTTTCGGTGCCTAGCTGCCTTGCCACCAGAAGGAAGCATGAGGGCTGGGATACTGCCAGGTTGCCCAAGCCTAGACAGGGAAAGTCGAGTGGCAGAGTTCGGGTTCGAACCACGGACATTCTGGTCAGTAGAATGGCGCTCTAATAGCTGAGTCCATCCTCTGGGGCCGTTTTTCGGGGAATTCATTTATTCTCTAACCATGTTGTAGTTATTTTTACATTGGGATTTTAGTTCATACCCGTTAAGTTTATTTTCTACCCTCTTGTTCTAGTCCAAAGTACACCCGAAGCATACCAAACACGCGTTGGGAGAGACGTCAACCAACGTTTGCCAACAAACGAGACTTCGTAAAAGAACCAGCCTCCCCGGTACGACAGCTGCCAGTTCCACCTTGATAAAACTTTCCAAACCAAGGTCACCTCCGAAACCCTCAGTCTCCAAACGGGCGGCTTCCAAACACGAGAACCCAGACGTCCCAAAGAAACCAACCGCTAAAGATCCGTATTCATTGGACGAACTCGAAGACAGCGATGATGAAAAGGAGAATATCGATCCCCGGGGTCAGAGGATTCTCGGTGTCAAGAAGAAAGTCACTAAGAGAACAGCCACCGTTACTGCTGTTGCCACTCAACCGCCAAAACCAAAAAGGTCCGTTTCCTTCAGCTCCCCACAACCAGTAAACTCTCGGCCTTCGATTAACGTGTCTACTTTGGGCAAACCGACTCAGCCTAGTTCTTCCACTCATCAACCCTTTCGGCTTCCGCATCCTCAAACACCCATTCTATCGGCTGCGCCACTGGTCACTCACGCCCCGTCTGCCTCCACACCGGCTGTACGAACCGACTTACCAACCCATAACCCTGTGAACCCTCCACTTAGTCTCTCACCCGTGAAGAAACCACCACGTCCCGTCCACACGAATTCCCCCGAAGCTCCGGATAAGCTTCTCACGGAGTCATTGGTTCCAAATACATCCAACATGGTTTTGGAGCTGTTCGCAGACGATGAACCAGTGAAAGAGCGCTCTAAAAGTAGCTTGGAAGGTAACAGTTTTCATTATTTGTTGTCTTTGTTCTCCGTTTGAATCCGGCCTTGTTTTTTTTCCTCATCAGATGATGAACGAGCATGAAGTCGCAAATTTTCAAAAAGCTCACATACAACACCATAGATAGGGAATTCTTGAGTTTCTTCGTTCAGCTGTAGAGCACCCTTTTCGAATTATAGCTGCCATGCCACACGAAGGAGGCACGAGGGCTGGGATACTGCCAGGTTGCCCAAGTCTAGACAGGGGAAATCGAGTGGCAGAGGTCGGGTTCGAACCACGAACCTTCCGGTCAGTAAATTCGCGCTCTAACCACTTGGTTTATCTCACCTCCCTTGAGTTTCTTAATCTCCGAGAGACAACTAAAATCTCCAGTCAGCGGTCGTATGACTGTCAGTATATTTAGCCAATCAGAAGAGGAAAGATGGACTTTCGAGGGGAGCTTAATCCTCGTCTGTCGAGAAAACTCGCTAGGATAATGCGGTTAGAGACTGTGACAGAATGAACTCCACTGGGGTCGATTAGTGGCCATATCTTTCAGCCAGAATTGCACCATGGATAACATCAAAACCCTTATTTCCAGGTCGTATTGTTCCAAACGCTAAAGCAGGCATGGAAGACAACGGTGTTCTAAGGGAACGATGACTCAAAGTGATTATCACGTGACGTAGCCATCATCGTAGCTTGCAGTGTTAGGTGTATTGTCTGAGCGACGTAACTACTCTGGTTATCTCACTGTATATTGCAGCCAGTTCGTGAGGCCTCGGTGGCCTGAAGATGTCTCATACCACCATTGGGTAGATCTCGAAGCCGTACAACGGCTCGGGTCTTATAAAGCCCTCCTCTAGACTTCTGACGTCTCAAGGGAGGGGGACAAGATGGCCCAAGTGGTTAGAGCGCGAATTTACTGACCGGAAGGCCTGTGGTTCAACCCGACCTCTGCCTCTCGACTTTGCATGTTTAGTCTTGGGCAACCTGGCAGTATCCCAGCCTTCGTGCTTCCTTCAGGTGGCGTGGCAGCCAGGCACCGAAAGGGTGTTACAGCTGAACGATTATCTTATCACAAGGGAGGGGAAAATCGTCAGATCCTATCCTAGGATGGACAGTTCCAACAACCTCGCTGGAAGCTCTGAATCTGTTAGACGTACTTCTACGATAATACAAACGGAAAAATGCAGGCCCTGGCTAGACAATGACAGATTGGAATTGTTGATTGGGCATATGATGAGCCGCTATCGTGTGCCACCGGGATTGTAGTTCGAACAGTTCAAACAAAGCCTGACGCCACGCATCAACCAAGAGATGGACCATCAGGGCCCCCCTTGAAGGGATGATTTTTTCCAAGTGAGATGGCGGCGACCACTGTAAACCAACAACTCTAACGACCCGCGCAACTGGTCAGAAAAAGCCACTTTTCTGTTATTTTTCTGCAGGTTTTGCTGCTCACATCATCCAAAGTGAATGTTCCAAGTGTTCAGCACAGACTCGGTGAATTGGCCCTCGTTTTCGGGCTGGCCTGTCACGTTGCACTCTGAAGATAGGCGATGCGATGCGAAGCCAATCCAACTCCCTGCACCCGGTGTTTAAACCTGTGGGTGAACAAAACAGGGAGATTTTAAAGCTTCCATTCCCAACGTATGCGTACAGTGGTGTTCGCCGACAGTCACTTGTGATCAGTGCTAAGCATGACCTTTATAAGTGCATACATGCTACGGATAGAAAAGTACATTCACTCCAATAGAATACCATACAATGGGACAATACAATGTGATAGAAAATGTACATAAACTGCGTACCGAATAGGCATGAGATTGCAGTGGAAACAAGATCACAACACGTTGTAACTGTCCAATCATCTAAGCCCACCGATGTGATGCTTGACGTCATCCGGGGCACTGGATTCATAGCCTGAAACAGACCCGGCAGTTTACACGTTGTGCTCGTTCATTTCCATGGGTTTGTTTTCATCCTCGAACGAACTGCTGACCCTGTTCGGTTCCCATCGTCCTTTGGACCAATTTCCTTTGTGTCTTCGGTCAAGGTCGCCTTTGTCGTTGAGCCAGCCGAAAAAAAACTATCAAAATAATCGTTCTGCCGTAACACTTTTGGTGCATGTATCCCATGCCATCAGAAGAAGGTCTTCAGATAGCCGAAGCCAGCCGAAAACTATCAAAATAATCGTTCTGCGGTAACACTTTTGGTGCATGTATCCCATGCCATCAGAAGAAGGTCTTCAGATAGCCGGCCGCTAGACAAGAGCAGTCGAGATACCTGGGTTGGGTTCGAACCATGGACCTTCCGGTCACTAGTCTTGCGCCCTAACCACTGAGCTATGTCAACCAATGAATGATGGTTAGGTTTCTGGGGATCATATAAAAGAGTTGTGATGTATCGAGACTAGACAGGAAGACTTTTTTGCGGGTCTCACAGCGCGAAGTATTGCTAGAAATCGTTCCGCTGTAGCACCCTTCCGGGGCCTAGCTGCCATGCCACCCGAAGGAAGCACGAGGGCTGGGATACTGCCCACGGTCTCTCAAGCCTAGACAGGGGAAGTCGGGTGGCAGAGGTCGGGTTCGCGTTCCAACCCCTGAGCCATCCTGATAAATGTTCTTACATTTATCCCGGATCTTGGTGATACCCCCTCCCCTGTTTTTCATTCTCTTCTGTTCATTCCTTTCTTTCATATGCTTCCACAGACTCAGGTTCCCGGGGCAGCTCGAATCGCAGTCGGAAACGAAGTAATAGCGGAACAGATGTAAGTGTGCTGAAAAATCTCTACTACAGATTGAACTTTTTGAGTCGTTTCTATCCTAGCTTTGTAGTTTGAAGAGCGATTCCCTCCAAGATGCCTCATGTTTCTCACTCCGAACAAAAAATATCCTTAGCGAATATACACTCATTTGCAAACTAATTTGGTTTTTCGAGAGACTCACCTGGAACCCAGCTGAATCTCTCGTTTATGATGTTCTCAGGCAACTGAATGTGCTGTGGGCTGTCGACGGATTTTCAGCAACCTTATGAGTAGTCCATTACAAAAAATATCCTTATTATAGTGAGCTTTTCGCGAGATCTCCATCACATCATCCAGTCTGTAAGAACCTATTTTTCCGGGTCAGTGATCGACTGTCGTCAGTCCATCGTTCTGTGAGATCAACCAGAATGAAGAATAATCGACAGTGGAAAGTCCGTTGACCAAAATGCCATCAAGACTTCAGGTACCAACGAATCAACTGTCTGCTAACAGCTGCCCACCTCGTTGGACTTTCATAATCGAACACTTTTGATTGGTTGCTTGAAATGTTTTAGCGTAGGAGCCGCTACTTGTTTTCGCCTTTGAGACGAATAACTGTGGCTGCGAATTATTCTGTGAGAGTGAATTCTGAAAGATGATATTTCCATCCGGATTGAGAAGGCCAGAGCAGCTTTTGTGAACCTACGTCCCCTGTGGCGTAGGCATGACATCGGCTTCTCTGTCAAGGGTCGAGCTTACAATGCTGCGGTGCGCTCCATATTACTATATGGATCAGAAACCTGGCCGCTGAGCGCTGAGGACGTCAAAAGACTTTCAGTGTTTGACCATCGATGTCTTCGGAGCATTGCCCGAATCTGGTGGGAACACCGGATCAGCAATTCTGAAGTACGTCGAATGGCATTTGGGAGAAATAACTCACCCTCGATAGATGAGCTGATCAGGCTTCATAGGTTGCGCTGGCTTAGCCACGTGTTGCGTATGCCAGTCGACCGACTTCCTCGAAGGGCTCTTTCCGCGCAACCACGTGAAGGGTGGAAGAGAGCCAGAGGCGGTCAAACAATGACTTGGCAGTGATATATGAAAGCCATTACCAGCAAACTCAGCTGCACTGGTCATTGCCGTATTACTGGATGGGGACCCCGAGACGGGCCACATCAATGGCTGGAGACGTTGCCAGACATGGCTCAGTGGCGCCCTCAATGGCGCTCGTGCATCCAGGCTATTGCCTTCAGTGCATAGCTCCTTTCCCACCCACCCACCCCCCACTTGACAGCCCATCGTTAGTGCTGGATTTACACACCAATTTATTACCCCTCGCCTCCAGTGCGCAGCTACCTACCCCACTTCCCGAAACTGTGGCAGCTATAACCACTGTACGACGAGTACGCGGTTCATACAGCTGACAATGATGGCGAATGCTCTCAAAACAGAGGTCACTCGTATCTTCTGTTCTCGGCTAGGTGTCGGGTGTAGTGAGAGCATGCGATACAATCTATACAGGGCGGAATTCGCGCAATTTTGAGAGTTGACCAATGATACATCGGACAGCGGCGTAGGCCGACTGACCGCGTGGACAGCATACAGCAGTCATCCTTCATTGTTGTACCTTCTTGTGCCAGGAGTCTGAGCCGTCAATATTGGCTTTTTCTCTCTTCAGTGGCTATTCTTAAGGTGGGTCTCTCGAACACACCCATGTCATGACCAGAAATGGTCCGTGAATTCCGAGGCTCAGTTTCGGATACCTATTGGATACCTTGTTAGTTTTGTGTGGAACTTTTGTGCTGACAATGACCTCACCGGAGAGTATATGGTGACGTAGGGGCGAGATGGCCCAAGTGGTTACAGTGTGGATTTACTGACCGGAAGATCCTTGGTTCGAACCCGACATCTACTTCTCGACTTCCGCTGTCTAGGCCTGGGCGACCTGGCACTGTCCCAGCCCCTGTGCAACCTTCGGTTGGCATGGCAGTTAGGCACCCAAAGAGTGCTACAGCTGAACGATATGGTGACGTCAAAAAGAGGAACTCATGTTTTCATCGCTTCCAGACGTCCGGTCAGTGGCAACACACGCGTTGCCTACCAAGTAAAATCGGATCCTCATGATAGTTTTATTGTCGTTAGCGTCAGCGTTTGAAACCAATGACTTCTCAGGTACGCCTCTTTGGTGTACTTTTTTCCTAGTAATTCTCCATGAGGATATATCTACGCATATCTTAACGTACAGGGCTCGG